TGAGCTTGCAAAGTAAAAGGAGAAGAATGGTGGTGTTCTTTAAGATAAGCTGAAACTGCTTCAAGCGAAGAACTAATAACCTGGTCCTTCCTAGTCCTAAACCCTTCCTAGCCCAATTGTAACCAGTGACCCAAGTGGGATTTCTCTATTTTTGCTCATGGTTCTATGTTTTTATTTCTTCTTATGCTTTGTGGTAGGATCTTATCAATCAATGAAATTCACTGTTTTTGCTCTAAATGTTTCTTGATATTTCTTAGATGGCTAATACCCTTAGATTGGAAAAAAGAAAATTGAATCCATTATTGCATTTGAATTAGCCCCATTGGCCATGAGTGATATTTGTTAAAATATGGTTACTTAACTTAATTATGCAACTTTTTGATAATGCCAAAAGGGGAAAGATAAGGTGTGCTTTTGCTTTGGATTGTGATATTTATAACCTAATGAACTTGGTCCTTGATAATTTGTGTCTTCAAAATGGAAAGTGCTCTAACAGTGTGTTGATGTTGAGCTGATTTGAAGCAAAGCTCATGCTTATGAAAAACAAGAAGTTTGGCATCATCAAAAAGGGGGAATTTGTTGGCCTGAGTAAGTTTTTTTTTATGATTGTCAAAGGACACGTGCATGAACCAGGTCCATGGACAGTGTGCACAGGTGACAGATAGAATCAAGCAAAAGGCTTGCACGTGAAAGGGATATGTATAAGTGGTTATATCTGATATTCCCAAAACGAAAAGGTTGCATATTTGATAAGGAGAAGGACTCCTTACTTGAAGAGAACACTATCCAAGATAAGTGAAGAGTTAGAAGTTGAAGTTGACTAGAACTCTTCCACCAAGGAAGAGTATAGCATTAGAAATATCAGTGTTGTTCTCTTTTACAGATGATGCACACATACTGAAGTTAAGCAAGAATTGAGAGCAAAATAGCAAGGCACTTTGTGAGCAATTCCTGTGAGTTTTAAGAGTGTGATCCTGAAGTTACACGAACCAGATTGAAGAACCAACTCCATAAAGAGTTTTATGTGTCTTTCTTTATTTCTAGTTCAAAGTGTAGCAGGCGTTTTGATGTGTACCTTTCAACTTTCTTAGAAGCAAATTGTACTAGGTACTTGAGTTGTATCTTTTAAGTTAGAGTTAACTTGAAGTAATCGCAACAACTTGTGGCTTGTTGCTATAAGGGTTAGAGTTAACCCTTAGGTTTACAAGAGGTTGCAAACTCGAGTTGTATTGTTCAAGTTAAAGTTAACTTGAAGTAGTCGAACATCCTGTGGCTGTTTACTATAGGGGTTAGAGTTAATCCTTAGGTTTGCAAGAGTTTGTAAACTTTGTTGTTGGCTTAGTGTTGTAGTGAAGAGTTTGGAGAAAATCCTACTAGGTAGTAGGTCGTGGTTTTTTAACCTTTTGAACCGGGTGTTTTCCAAGTAAAAATCCTTGTATTCTTTACTTTCTGCATTTATTATTCCGCAACAGTAGTATAAGGAACGCATAGAAGAAACAGGTCCTTATATAATCAGTTTAAGCGAAAAATTGGATACCACAAAAATCACCCCCTCTTGTGTGGTATTGAAGTACAAAACATCAATTATTATGCAATCTGCAGGATTGAAGAATCAGAGAGCTATTTCAAGTCCAAAAAAAGGAAATGCGGACCGCATCATTTTTTGTGCAGCCGCACCCATTTTTACGCGGACCGCAGAAGCCCCGAAGTTCCAAGCCCAAGTTCCAAAGAATGCGGACCGCACGATAATTGTGTGGCCGCAGAACCTCATTGTACGGACCGCACCAGGATTATGCGGCCGCACAACCTTCGTAGGGGCATTTTTGTCCTATATTTTCAGCTTAGAATAAATAGAACTTTTTTTAATTTTTAGGTTAAGTTCGGTTTTCAGAAGGGCACCTAAGCCGTTTTCTTTACTGTTTTGAGTAACTTTGTACTAGATTAACTTCTAAACATTAGATTTTCCTTATCTAATCAATTATTATGCATTCTATCTTATTTTCAACTTGTATTTTTTTATTTTTCATGAGTAGCTAAATCTTTAGCTTGGGTTGTGGCCCAACCCTAGTGTGGGTACTTAATGGGTATTTAATTTTAGGGCTTGTTTGTGATTGGGTTAGTGATATTTAGCCTTGTTTATGCTTGAATTCAAGAATAGATGGTTGCAAATATTAGTTCATGCCTATTTGACTTAGTCTCTACTTGAGAAAGAGAGAATACGTCTAGGAAAACTTGGCTAACAAGTAATTGGGGTGAACTCAAGAAATTGATAGCTCCAATTAAAGAGTCAAATCTAGAGATAGTAAGACCCGACTTGAGCATATATCACTTGATTTGTGCAATACCTATTTGGACTTGAGAAAGCCAAATTGGGCAAAATCACTCAAACTACCGAGAGGTATAGAGTGGGTAATTGTGTGTGATTCCTATATTACGATCCCAACTAATCAAACTTGCCCTAGAGTTTACAACCCGTTAGGTAACCACCTAGTTGAAAGTCACGACCCTAGATCCTTTATCTTTTGAAAAACAACCAAAACCAAAAACATTGTCTACTAGTTTATTAATTGCATTCAATAGTTTAAAGTAGAATAGAAACAACCAACAAGAATGTGGAAGTACAAATTGAGGCACATTATACAATTACACTAGGTGTATACCTAATTCCATTTCTAAGTCCCTGAGGAATCGAAATCGAACCCGACTCGCGTTGAGTTTTATTATTGCTTCGACCGCCTCACTACCTATAATTGTGATGTGAGTTTGGGCGAGATCAATTTTTGGCACCGTTGCTGGGGAGTTAAACGGATTTAGCTATATATCTAGGTTTTTGTGTGATTTGTCTTCTTTTCCCTCCGAGTCACTAATTTTGTTTTTGAATTGATTAGGTTTGAAAATAGCTCTCAACAACGAGCCCATCAGAAATGTTCCATTGGGGGAGGAAGTGACGATGATCAAATGGATGAGGTTCCTCTTGAACCTCAAGCTAATAGAAGAGGTTGCCTGCCTTACGATAATGTTCTCGCCCCTCCCCACCTTCCCAAGAGCGGAAGCCCACCGACAATTACTAAACGAGGGTTATGAAAGTGCTATAGTCCCGCCTCGCATTAGGGTGGGAAACTTCCAACTCACCAACGTGATGCTTCGCCCCGCATTAGGGTGGGCAACTTCCAACTCACCAACATGATGCTTACACTACTTGAGCAACGGGGATTCTTTACCAGTGCTCCGAATCAAAATTCCTACAAGCATCTCAAGGGGTTCGTCGATACTTGTTGGGGGAGCAAGCAAACAAATGTCTCTGAGGACGCGCTGAGGTTGAGGCTATTTCCCTTTTCTCTATGGGGAAATATATTGGACTGATTAGAGAGATTATCAAACTATTCCATCCACACTTGGGATGAGTTGGCAGAGAAATTGATTTCCAAATTCTTCTCTCCGGAACATACGACGATGCTTCGGGATGAGATTCTTGCTTTCAAGCAAGAACCCAATGAGCCATTACACGAGATTTGGAAAAGATATCATACCATAGTTCAAGAGTGCCCAAACAATGATATGACCGAGGCCATGATCTAATAGACCTTTTACAGGGGGATCAACACAACTAATCAATGTGTGGTTAACCAACTCGCCGGGTGGAACTTCATGACCACTCTTTACGCCGAAGCTTGCGAAATTCTTGATGAGATGGTGGATACCTCTTCGGCATGGCAAAGTAAAGCCAATGTTCCACGAGGTGATCCTAATGCTATTCACCTACACAAGGAGCTACATAATCATGGGTAAGCTATTGTCGAGTTGACAACTACCATGAACCAATTGGCCAAAGCTCAGCTTCAACAAGTTCAAGTGTCGAAACAAGTGCATGCAATGGAAGGTGTGAATATAATGGTAAGCAAAAGACGACAACAAGGTCAACAAATGCAAAACCGTCCAGAACAATTTATGCAAGATGATAGTGGTTATGATCAAGGTGATTCGTTCAATGAGCAAGAAGAAGAAGTTCAATATGTCAACGATTATCAAGGCCAAAGAAACAATTCTCAAAGACAAAATCAACAACAATAGAGGTCGCAAAGGAAACAAGGTAATTGGAACAACTAAAACCACCAAGGAAATTGGAGTGGTGGCAATCCTAATCAAGGCAATTAGAACAATCAAGGAAATCAAGTCAATTGGAGTAATCAAGGCAATTGAGGTGGCAACATTCAAATCAATTGGGGAGGAAATAACCAAGGAGGGTGGAACAACAACAATAATCAGGGGTCGGGTTTTCAAAGGCCTCCAATCTTCCAACAACCAAGCAATCCACCTCCCTATCCTTTTCAAGGACCGGGCTCTTTTTCCAATGATATGGGTAGAATTGAAAACAAGATTAAACAAATGATAGAAAAGAATGCCGACTACGATGCTCAATTAGCCTCGCACAATACTTATATTTGAAATTTGGAGGTTCAATAAAGGCCAAATCTCACAAGCTTTGAACACTCGTCCTAAGGGGGAACTATCTAGTAATACGATGGTAAACCTGAAGGGTGGGAATAATACGGGACATACTATGGCCGTGACTACTAGAAGTGGAAAAGGTAGAGATGTAACCACCTCAAATCAAAGAAGGATTGTGGATGAAAATGTTATAGTTCAAGAAGATGAAATCCCAAGCAATGTGGTTCAAGCTAATGAAGAAATGAGAATTGATATAGATAAAAGTGTGGAGGAGATGCAAGAAGAGGTAAACCCATATAGGGAACACATGATTGACTTGCCGAACCGGTAGTGACCAAGTCTAAGGCACCAACGCCTAGGCCTCCTCCTCCATACCCTCAAAGGCTTGCAAAGAAAAATAGTGAAAACCAATTCAAAAAGTTTATTGATATGATGAAGAGTTTTCAATTAATGTGCCATTTGTTGAGGCATTGGAACAAATGCCGGGATATGCCAAATTCATGAAGGATTTGGTAACCAAGAAAAGATCAATGAATTGTGAGACCATCAAGATGACTCATCAAGTGAGTGCTATTGTTCACTCAATGGATCCAAAGTTGGAAGATCCGGGCGCTTTCACAATCCCTTGCACTATTGGGAGCGCCGATTTTGCCAAGGCATTATGTGATCTCGGGGAAAGTATCAACTTGATGCCCTATTCATTGTTCAAAACTTTCGGAATTGGGAAACCAAGACCCACATCCATGATGTTGCAAATGGCAGATCGAAAAATGAAGAGGCCTTTGGATATTATTGATGATGTATTGGTTCGAGTTGACAAGTTCATCCTCCCAGCGGACTTTGTTATCCTTTATTGTGAAGTGGACTATGATGTGCCTATTATTTTGGGTAGACCTTTTCTTGCTAAGGGAAAGGCTCTTATTGATGTGGAAGCTGGTGAGCTCACTTTCTGGGTGGGTGAAGAAAATATGGTTTTCCATGTGTGCAAATCAATGAGGCAACTGAATAGTAATAAATTTTATTTGTTCGTGGATTTGGTGACGGACGTGATTATTGATGATGCTACTGCCACAATGAACGTTGAAGACAAATTGGAAGTTGTTTTGCTCAACTTTGATGATGATGAGGAGAGTGATGGCTATGTGGAGTGTGTAAATGCATTGCAAGGCATGGGGTCATCTACTTATGAGCCCCGAAAGCTATCTTTCGATCTTGAAAACCGGAAGACTCCTCCAATAAAGACCTCAATCGAGGAGCCTCCTAACTTGGAGTTAAAACTATTGCCCTTGCATATCAGGTATGAATTCTTTGGACCTTCTTCTACCTTACCAGTTATCATTTATTCTTGCTTAACTAACATAAAGGTAGAGTCCACATTGGAGGTGTTACAAAGGAGAAAAGGAGCAATCAGATGGACTTTGGAGGATATCCAGGGAATAAGCCCTGCCTTTTGCATGCACAAGATTATTTTGGTGGAGGGTCCCAAACCCTCCGTTGAAAATCAAAGGAGGTTAAATGAAGCAATGCAAGAGGTGGTGAAGAAGGAGTTAATCAAGTGGTTAGATGTCGGGGTTGTGTACCCCATTTTCGATAGCTCATGGACCTCTCTGATGCAATGTGTCCCAAAGAAAGAGGGCATGATTGTGGTAACAAATGACAAGAATGAATTTATCCCAACAAGAACCGTCACCAGGTGGAGAGTGTGCATGGACTATAGGAAGCTCAACAAATTTACTCGGAAAGATCATTTCCCGCTTCCATTTCTTGACCAAATTCTTGATAGGTTGGCTGGATGTGCTTTTTATTACTTTCTTGATGGATACTTTGGTTATAACCAAACCCTTATTGCTCCTAAGGACCAAGAGAAGACCACTTTCACTTGTCCTTATGGTACTTTCGCATTCTCACGGATGCCTTTTGGGTTGTGTAATTCACCAACGACTTTTTAACAGTGTATGATGGCTATTTTCACCGACATGGGGGAGGACATTCTTGAGGTCTTTATAGATGATTTTTCTGTGGCTGGGAATTTGTTTGAAGATTGTTTAAACAATTTGGATAGGGTATTAGCTAGATGTGAGGAGACAAATTTGTTGTTGAATTAGGAGAAGTGCCACTTCGTGGTCGAGGAAGGCATTGTCCTCGGCCACAAAATTTCAAAGCATGGTATTAAGGTCGACAAGGACAAGATTGAGGTGATCTCCAAACTCCCTCCCCCGACATCTGTGAAGGGAGTGAGGAGTTTCTTAGGTCATGCGGGTTTCTATCACCGATTCATCAAGGATTTTTCCAAGGTGGTGAACCCATTGTGCAAACTTTTGGAGAAGGATGCCAAGTTCCATTTCAATGAAGATTGTATGAAGGCATTCGAGTTGCTTAAGTTCAAGTTGACTACGACTCCTATTATCACCGCGTCGGATTGGAGCTTGCCTTTTCAGCTCATGTGTGACACTAGTGATGTGGAGGTTGGAGCAGTGTTGGGGCAAAGAATCAACAAAATATTACATCCGGTCTACTACGCTAGCAAGACCATGAATGATGCCTAGGTTAACTACACAGTGACCGAAAAGGAGCTACTTGCTATTGTTTTTGCCATGGAGAAGTTCAGGTCGTATTTGATGGGTACTAAGGTGATTGATCACACCGACCATGCAAGGCTTCGGTATTCGATGAGCAAGAAAGATTCTAAGGCAAGGTTGATGCGGTAGGTGCTACTATTGCAAGAGTTTGATCTAGAGATTCAAGACCGCAAGGGTAGTAAAAATCAAGTGGCAGACCACTTGTCCCGTTTGGAGGAGGAAGGGAGGCCACATGATGGCCTTGAGATCAATGATTCATTTCCCGAAGAGCAATTCCTAGCCTTTTTAATAACCGGGATTCCATGGTTCGCCGGTTTAGCCAATTATCTTGTGAGCAGCATTGTACCGAATGAGTTCTATTCAAACCAAAGGAAGAAGCTCAAACGGGATCGCTTGGATTATTATTGGGATGAGTCATATCTTTTCTAGATATGTACTGATGGTGTGATTCGGCGATGTGTGCCGGAAGAAGAATAAATGGGAATTCTTGAGGGTTGCCACTCTTCACCATATGGTGGCCATCATGGTGGAGCTAGGACGACTACAAAGGTTTTGACTTGTGGATTCTATTGGTCTACCCTCTACAAGGATGCAAGTGAGGTTTTCAAACGTTATGATGAGTGCCAAAGGGCCGGTGGGATTTTCAAGAAGAATGAGATTCCCCTTACTACCATTTTAGAGATTGATATCTTTGATGTTTGGGGTATTGATTTCATGGGACCATTCGTGAGCTCTTGTGGGAACACTTACATTTTGGTAGTTGTGGTCTATATGTCAAAATGGGTTGAAGCTGTGGCTTTACCCAACAACGAAGCTTGAAGTGTGGTGACATTTTTGAAAAAGAACATCTTCACAAGGTTTGTTACTCCGAGGGCCATTATTAGTGACAGGGGTTCGCATTGCAATCAAGATTTTTGTAACGATCGGTTTTTTGTAACAATCAGGCCGATCGTTTTGAGAATTAATGCCCCGATCCCCTATTAACTGCATCCCCCGTGTCTTTTTTCTGCTATTGCGATTTGCCGGAAGGGTTCATTTTGAGTTCCGGAGTGTTTTAGGACACTTAGTCCCTAAATTAGAGTTTAAGTTTTAGAATTTGGACCGTACCCAAAGCAGTGTGAAGACAACTCCGGAATGTAATTCTGTCAATTTTGTTAGCTCCGTTGGGTGATTTTGGGCTTAGGGGCGTGCCCGGATTGTGTTTTGGAGGCCCATAGCTTATTTAGGCTTAAATGGCGAGAGTTGAATTTTTGGAGTTTCGAGCTGATAGTTGAACTTTTGATATCGGGGTCGGAATCCAATTTTGGAAGTTGGAGTAGGACCGTAGTATTTAATATGACTTGTGTGCAAAAATTTGGGGTCAATCGGACATGTTTTGGTTGGTTTCGGCATCAGTTGTAGAAATTTGGAAATTCAAGTTCATTAGGTTTGGATTGGAGGGTGATTCGTGGATTTCATGTTGTTTGATGTGATTTGAGGGCTTGAATAAGTTTGTATGATGTTTTAGGATTGGTTGGTATGTTTGGTTGAGGTCTTGGGGGCCTCGGGTGAGTTTCGATAGCTAAAAGGATTTGATTTGGACTTAGGCAATTTTTGAAGTTGTTGAACCTAATGTAATTGCACCTGCGGATGTGGGAACCCAAGTGCGGTGCCGCAGAAGTGGCTGGGTAGTAGCAGAAGCGGAAATGGACCAAGGCAACAAGAACCACATGTGTGGCTGGAGACCGCATATGTGGGATCGCAGATGTGGCCCCAATCCGGATAAGTAACCTCCGCACCTACAATGATTTTTCCGCAGGTGGGGGACCGCAGTTGTAGTGGACCCCTCGCAGAAGCATGATCCTTGGCAGAAAAAAGGACCAAGTCGCGGGTTTTATCCCATTTTCAATTTTGGAACTTTTAGAGCTCGGGAAATGGAAATTTTGTGAAGATTTTGAAGAGGAAATCAGTGGGTAACGATTCCTAACCGTATTTCGTTTATATTTCATCAATCTATAGCAATTTTCTCCATCTAATCAAGGAATTTGAGTGGAAAATGGGAATTTGGGGGAAACGTTCCCCAATCAAATTTTTGGGTTTTGATCAGGTTTTAGGTGTCGGAATTGAATAATTTTTGATCGAGCTTTCTCGTGAGTGAATGGGTGTTCTAAATTGGTAACTTTCACCCGATTCCGAGACATGGGCCCGTGGAGGATTTTTGGGCGTTTTTCTATTTTCTCGCCTTAGCTTTGATCTCATTAGTTAAATTAGTTGTTTGTAGTTATACTTATGTTATGTAATTGATTTGATTAGATTTGGGCCATTCGGAGTTGGATACTCGTGGCAAGAGCGTGATTTCGGATTGATTTGAGCTTGGTTCAAGGTAAGTCGGTTGCCTAACCTTATGTGGGGGAACTCCCCTTAGAATTTTGGTATTGTTTGATATATGAGCACTGTGTACGTGAGGTGACGAGTGCGTACACGGGCCATTTGTTGCAAAACTCCATTTTCCACTAAGCCTTAACTTGTTTTTCTTTGTTGAACTACATTAGCATATGTTATTACCTTGATTAGGATAGAAAAGTTTATGTGTTAAATTGCCTATTTGAACTCTGTGCAGCATGTTCTAACGAAATGTTCATGTTTTCCTTAAATGCAAACTTTGTTTAAATTGCAAATTCATTGATATAACTGTTATTTGTATTGACTGTACTGCATATTTATTTTAGGACTACGGATCATTATTCCGGGAGATCCCCCAGCACTGCATATTTACTTTGGGACTACGAAATGGTATTCCGGGAGATCCTCTGTTGCTATTGCTGTGTTTTGAGCTATTGTTCTTCTGTGCTTATTTCCTGGTTAAAACTTCAGTATTTACTTCTTTACTATGATACTTTTTTTCTATTTAATGTTTATCATATTAAAACCAGTAGGGCCCTGACCTGATCTCGTCACTACTTGACCGAGGTTAGGCATGACACTTACTGGGTACCGCTATGGTGTACTCATGCCCTTTCCTGCATATTTTTTTCGTATACAGATCCAGGTACTTCTTCTCAGCCATACTTCCAGTGAGGCGAGGCAATCTTAGAGACTTCGAGGTATATCTGTCGTATCCGCATACCTAGAAGTCCCTCTCTATTCTTCCTCAAGTTATAGACTTCCTGTATTTTCTTCGTTGTTAGATTTATGGAGTTAGAAACACTATGTACTTCTGTAGCTTATGATTCATGAGATTCCAGGTTTTAGGAGTGCTTATGTTCAGTTCGAGATTGTTTTATTGTATATGCCAAGCGACATTTTAAACTTCTTAATTACATTACCTGTTAAATTGTTTGTTTTTGTATCTTTGTTTCATTTCCGCAAATCAAACCGTCACGACATTTCATGGAGGGAGAACTTGGGTCGTGACAAGTTGGTATTAGAGCACTAGGTTCATAGGAGTCATGAGTCACAAGATTTATTAGAGTCTCGTGGATCGGTACGGAGACGTCCGTACTTATCTTTGAGAGGCTATGGAATTGTTAGGAAAATTCCACTTCATTTGATTCCTTGTCGTGCGATATTATTGACTTCAAAATTCTAAACTTTTGTCTTCTATTCTCTTACAGATGGTGAGGACACATGCTACCAAAGATGACCAGGCACCCGCACCCCCTACTAGAGCCGCCAGAGGCCGGGGCCAGGGTAGAGGCTGAGGACGTGCACGTGGTGCAGTCAGAGCACCCACCCGAGCTATTGCAGAGGAGCCATTGGTAGTTCTAGCCAGAGAACATGCACCTAATACGCCTACTGCCACTACTCCATCTCTCCAAGAGACCCTTGCACAGTTCATGAGTATGTACAACACTTTAGCCCAGGCATTGATTCCTCTTGCTGCAGCCACATCTCAGGCCGGGGGAAGAACACATACTCCCACCACCTGCACTCCAAAGCA